AACAATATACTTTCCACACGTTGTGTTACCTGCCAAAATGCAGGTGACACGAGCATTTCACACTACACAGGGAAGTAACAATCATTACACACTACACAGGGAGGTAACAATCATTACACACTACACAGGGAGGTAACAATCATTACACACACACCACACACTACACACGAAGGTAACAATCATTACACACACACCACACACTACACAGACGACACACACTACACAGGAAGGTAACAATCATTACACACACACACCACACACTACACAGACGACACACTACACAGGGAGGTAACAGTCATTACACACACACACCACACACTACACAGACGACACACTACACAGACTGTCTCTTATACACATCTAGATGTGTATAAGAGACAGACATTGGAACGTTTAAATCCACTCATGCATTCATAGATATAGAATTTGACTGAGCAATAATTTNCCAAATGGATCGTTTCCGAAATGAAATAACTAAAATTTGATGTTTTTAAAGGAGTTGCCACTATGATTCTCAATTTGACAAATAGTATTTATTAAAATATCTAATAATCTTGTAATCTTTCTTTGAACTCCTCCCACTTGACAGACTCCCACAATGTCCTGGCGGTCCTACACCAGCTACTCTCCCATCGCCAGGTCAACTGCTACCGAATCTGCCACTGCCTTACGCATCTTAAAAGCTCAGGAGCCGTACTTTCAAAACTCGCCAAGTGAACGTAAGTACTTACGCTCTATTTTTTTGTATATGATTGGTGGATTTTCCTTGAAAGGCCGTCAATGATTGGCTGATGAACTTACGATATCTTAACTTTTTTTGAAAGTACGGGCCCAAGAGCCAAATTGTCATAAATACTTACCGAGTTCCTTACTCCGTCAGCCAATCACTGACGCCTTTTTAAGCTGAATTCACCAATCAAGGACGAGAAACCAGCCGCTACATGTTCTTAAACAAGTTTTGATAATACAACCCTTGACCATCAACAAACTGAGTTCATTACTGCCACATACAGGGCCTCCAGTCCATACAATGAACAAATTATCGAAGAATTATAGCCGAATAAAATTATTTATGCACGTGTATGCAGCTGTCAAACTTTGACCATTAGGGATATCTGACCATCAAGCACTCACCAATAACAGAACTGTCCGCCATCACTCACCAATAACAGAACTGTCCGCCATCACTCACCAATAACAGAACTGTCCGCCATCACACTGATCTTACAGTCCACCAGGCCATGTATGGAGAACTGCGCCATCCCCCACAGAGATTCCGTATAACTTGCCCGGGGACCAAATCCCGATAAACTGCAACAAAAAAATATTTTAGCCCCATTTTAGTGGGAAATTATATATGATTTGAAAATTAGGCAATTGGATGATTTTTGTATACAGGAAAATTGGACAAAGATGGCAGGTTTAACTTATCTAAGGCATCATGTATTTTAGCCAGTTTTCATGAGGGCATTAAAAATATTTCAAAATGTTCACTAGTAAATAATTATCTCAGTCAGTTTTCATGGTGGCATTAGTAGTCCAACAAATTATGCACTTTGGCAACTCAGCGCTCCTTCAAGTCGTTTGGCTGTGAACAAAATATATTGTAAGTAAAGAAATATTTCATATAATTATTGAACCATTAAACAATTTCCTATTTTTTAAATACATTTTATATCCTATTGGTTGTATTCTAGTTTATAAATGAAGTAAGCAGGCAGCCCATTTTGGTGGGGTCAGCATTATTTAGAAGCCTTGCGTGGAACAACAAAATAATGTTCAGAGCGAAGAAATGTCTTAATGTCTCTTCATTCATTTAATTTTAAAATCTGATTTTATATTGGAGTCATATTTTTAATTGCAGACACACAGACTTGGGTGCCAACTAGTGCATGCTTCTGAATAACATGATATTTGATTTCTCAACAATTCAATTTTCAGGTCTACTATCTTCAAATTCATATGACAAAGATTAAAATCTACATTACAAGAAACGGACAACGGAAGAAAAAAACTTTCAATGAGCAAATTTTATCTACATTTTCAATAAAGATCTGCTTGGCATTTTCTTAACTTTTACATGCTTGGTGAGCTTGCAATTTAAACAGACTTATGATATCTTCAAACGTTGTAAAGATGATCACTTCAAGTAGAAAATAGAGCTACGGCTGATGTGAAAGGCTTATAAAAACACTTTACCAACTTAATTAGAAAGTAAAAATAACCTTCAAAACTGAACACTCATAATATTTCAGTGTATGCAGTGAAGTGACCAGCAGGACTGGATTACCAGAATGAAAGGATAGCAAGCAAATGTTATGTTGAGAACAATCTTGCAATGAAAATTTATTTGCCATTAATAAAGAGAATATAGAACCCTCAATGAAGACAATAAGAAGTAAACAAACACTGATCGTAAATAAACAATGATCGCAACAGGTCAGCGGGAAAACGCCCTTGGTTTATAATACCCTCGGTAAAAAAATAACCACTAATATCATAGCCTTTTCTGTTGAAATGCTCTTCAACTAAGATCTATTCTTGGTGTCGGATCAATAGTATTTTAGCCATTTCGATCTATAATAATTAGGTAGGTTATTTAGCATACCACATATACATTTTTACCATGGAGTGAGCTGTGCCCCTGTCAAACTCACAACATCAGCGTTCAGCGAGCAACAGAGGTGGGAGGTACTCAAGCTGTCCACTGCGCTCTTAAGTGACATTTCATTTAGTTTTTGCAATGGCGGGCAATGAACTCACAGACAATAAGATTGAAAAAACTATTGGAGCGAATAAACTCATAAAGAAATCAGCGATGAAGATGCACTTACACCAGCGATGAAGATGCACATGTTTTGAGGCACACGCACACGTGAATGACTTACAGTCTCCTCACCACCGATGACATCACCGCAATATTTAGTGGTCGGAATTGTCGTAAATATAAATGGCTCTGCTTGAGACCAGAAATTTGGTCGCATATGCTCATAATTTGTAAAATAGATCTGAGTTCACAATTGTGAGTTTTGAAACGACATTTGATAGGAAACAATTATATTAATGCCTAGTAAGATAATCTCAGCGTATGTAAAATGGAAAGGACTTAAAAAATACTTGACATTATAAAGGGCAGAACTCATTCGCAGCCGAGGTTGGAGCGTGACAAGAAAACCCAAGATGATTAGAATTAAAACGACTTTAAAAATAAAGAATAACAACTTTAAAACTTATTAATGAAAAACCTGTAAAGACTCACTTGCTCGACACGTTGAGCTGAGGATTCTTGAGAGCGAAGACATGAACTGTTCTCTTGTCACTCACACATGCCATGAACATGTTGTCTGCACTCATGTTGATGCTGCAACATGGACATGATGTGGCATCAAGTAACATACCTAACATAAACATGTTGATACTAAGTCAACCCATAACCTTAGTTCTCCTAGTTAGTAATAAATGAAGTTAAAAAAGTGAAGAAAATACACTCACAATCCTTTTTTTTAATATTCATGTGAATATAATTAATATTTAACAAACCCTACACATACAACTTTTCCATCACTCTTTTTACTCATAAGAGCAACACCATCACACATATACAGGGTAATATTTTACATCACTATGTCATATGAGGGACTAATCTAAATTAATTCTCCGAGCTCTTATATGAAGGCCTCATATATATCTATATCACATGCCCTTACCCATATTGGTCAACTTCTGTTAATCATATACGATTACATGGTATACATCAAACTTGTATACGAGGGCAGATCTAATCACCATATTTTCCTAACACATATAGATGCTTGTATCTAAATAACTGTATATGAGGACATTATATAACTCTTACTCTTATACGAGTGCTTTTTATGAGGCAAGTTATATCACGCAGAGTCAGGTATGAGTGTTCTTTATGAGGACATATTCATTCTCCTTACTAATATACGAGTGCTTCATATAAACATACACGTATATGCGGTTATATAAACATGCCTCTTACTCATATACGAGGGCTTCATATAAACATACACGTATATGCGGTTATATAAACATGCCTCTTACTCATATACGAGGGCTTCATATAAACATACACGTATATGCGGTCATACAAACATGCCTCTTACTCATATACGAGGGCTTCATATAAACATACACGTATATGCGGTTATATAAACATGCCTCTTACTCNATCTCCCAAACTAATGAATGCAACTTGATAAAACTTGGAACACATATTCATTAGGACCCAACGTTGATGCTGTCTCTTATACACATCTAGATGTGTATAAGAGACAGATATAAACCCTGCACAGTTGACACCTGTTAGGTCTGTAAACAGGGCTATCATAATAAGGTAATAATAGTAATACAGGGAAAACTTGTATAATTTGAACATTTACATTAAATGGGGAAAGAGAGAAGAAAGAGGCAGTTTTCAATTTCCAGATTTGACAGGGAAATGAGGATATGCAGTAAGGAAATATAGACCTATTATTTCTATAGACTTTATGAGGGAAGGGTGGAAAAAAAAGTATAACTTTGTCCCTTTAGATGTGATTCTTCATTGATCGGTAGGATATTTAAATAAGATTTGTTGCTCCCTGAAGTCTAAAGGGGGAACAGTTCAACTATCTTTATACCTAATGGAAAATTGTTGCTGCTCTAGAACTGATACTTATGACCCAGGGGCGGGGTTAGTTTTCTCTCAATTTTATTCTTTGTATTTGCTGGAGGATGATGGCATTTAAAAAAATTAACCCTAATGCTTCACTGCCAGGTAAATGAAAATAGATACTGTAAAATTATGAAAAATTGAAACAAATTTGAATTTAAGAAAATATTCACAAAGCATGGAAAAAATTCAAAATTACTCACAACAATTTGAATGGATTCTCCATTGGTGGTGCAATAGCAACGCACATGCTGCTTCATAGCCAACTCAACAAAAACTTTTCAAGTGAAAATCAATAAAAATAACAAACTCGAATAAAATTTTACAGCTGATGGAGAAATCACCAACTACTTACAAAAGGTCACAGAGCAAGCGGTGCTTCATAGACAACAAAATGAAAACTAAAAGTAAAACAACAAACAAACTTGATTTTAATATTACAAATAAAGCAAAACTTGCCCGAGTACTGACAACAATTTGGACAGATCCTTCGGTTGTGCCAGGGTAGCAGAGCACATGCTGCTCGGCAAAGTCCCTGGACATCTGACAGAGCCCCTTGTCGTTGGGGCAGGTCGTGTAGGTCACGCCTCGCTGGATGTTGTTCAGAGGGAACAGCGACACGTCATATACTTCTATCTCACGCTGCATCACCATCACCAGTCTGGGAAAACATCATCACATTAATTTTTATAGTGAATAAATGAAGCTCTATCTCACGCTGCATCACCATCACCAGTCTGGGAAAACATCATCACATTAATTTTATAGTGAATAAATGAAGCTCTATCTCACGCTGCATCACCATCACCAGTCTGGGAATAAATCATTACATTAATATTTATAGTGAACTTCAAGCTCACAATGCATCACCATTGTCAGTCTGGGAATACATCATCATATTTATTTTATAGTGAACTTCAAGCTCACACTGCATCACCATTCTGGGAATATACATCAGATCACAATAATTTTAGTAGTAAAGATCAAGCTCTATTTCACGCTGCATCACCATCACCAGCCTGGGAATACATAATCACATTAATTTTATAGTGGAAATCATGCTAGATCTTGCATTGCAAGCCATCACCAGTCGGTATTCTATTGCAGCGCTATAACTATAAGAGCTGACACATCATACATATATATTATTTGATACTGCATCACCAATAATGTAAATAAATATTGTAATAAGGCTGCAATACATCATTTAATTTTTATAATTCTACATGCCCCCAAAAACAAAAAATATTTCAATCATCAAATGCATTCATTTAATTTCATCTAGGAATGAGGGCATAAAATGTCTGGAAGCATTTAATATATAAAAGGTGCAATATCACAATAACAATTATTAATCATAAAAATTAAGTAGTTTCATCATCTTTATTATAAAATTATTTGCTATGTAACAAGTTTGAGACCGTTTAACAAGAGGCAATGACTCACTTATCATCTCTAATTAGCAGGTTGAGTATGGGTGAAGGCACTTTGAAGCGCGCACCGAACACATTGGTGGAGAAGTTGTAGAGCATGGCAACGTTGTCAGGCATCTTGGGGCGCTTGCCCCCACCAGCCATCACCACAGCACAGCTGCTGTCTAACTGCTCCGCTACACGCACGCTGCCACAGACACTCCAGCCTGCGGGTGTTTGCTAATGACAGTTAACTGGACAATGCCTACCTGCACCAGCCCATAGGATTTTGCTGGTGAAGTGAACAATGTTGGTGCTAGCCTGCGGGCGTTTGCTGGTGACCTGGACAATGTCTGTATTCCAATTTGATAAGATATATACCCAAGTGCAAAGGAAAATTCTTGGGAAAATAAAGGCACCATAGCAGGTAACATATTTGGAAATATTTAATTATATGTATTGTGTTGATCTTTACATCATAAATTATTAAGTCTAAGTAGAGAATACAATGGAAGCCTTCTTGTATTGTGACAGCCAAGCAATACAGAGCAATTAAGAGGAACTGCTTTTCATAAAAAAAAACATTGAACTTTTTCCTGCCTTGCTAATTTTATAATCTCTATAGACAAACAGATTATATATTAAAATGATTTATATATATATATATATATATCCATGAGATAAGGAAAAAATATCTTATAAGTAGATAACTTCTTCTACCACTAATTTTGAAAGTAATGAAGCATATATAGTATATTATTTTATGAATATTGGAGCATTATTAAAAACTACCTACATAATTTAGTTGTCTGGAAGTGAAAAAAATTATTCTAGAAAAATACCCAACCATCCTGAGTCTCATAAGAGATTTAACTTTTAACTCACATAGACATTGGTAGAGTTCCAGCGGGTCAGTTTGGTATATACGCAGCCCCTCTTCCAGGCAAACTGTGAAGAAGGCTGCAGGAGAGGAAAGACATTAATTCAATGGTCTTGTTACACAGAAAATGACAATTTCAACAAAATCTGTAATTACTTCTGTCTCATTTATAACTGACTACTACTAAATAGCAGTTAGTTAATACTACTAATTAGTTAACTAAGAATGATCAGACTAGCAGTACATACTTTTGTTGCTGTTGAAGGAGATGCTGTGGATGTGGACAAGCTTGCGGGTGCTCTCGTGGGTGGCAGTCATGATGACCTACTTTCATCAATTAATCTAGGAAAATTAGGCTGAATTAATCACAACCTACAATTGGATCTAGCAATCAATTAAAATGTTAAACTTTATTTCACCTAAAAGAGAAAAAATGCATTAAAAGAAATTCATGCATCAATATGTATTTCTAAATTTTCTATTTTTTCATACTTAAAAATGTATATAGGATCACATTATAAATTACTTGTATATAAATAATATTAACATAAGATCTCATTATTTTATAACCGATTCATTGTACTTCATTATACTACGTACTATTTAAGACAGCTCGGACAAATTTACGGGCAGACTCGTGTCTGGTCTTGCAGCAGGTCTCACGGCCTATCTCCAAATTCAGTGACCAAGGAATATCTCCCAAACTAATGAATGCAACTTGATAAAACTTGGAACACATATTCATTAGGACCCAACGTTGATGTTTAGATTGTGAATTATTTTTAACTTTCACCTTCATTTGGAGTTATACAGCAATACAGACCAAAATTTGCAGTGATCAAACAATTTCTTCCTAACTACTGAACAGATTTGAACAAAATTTTGAAGATAAATTCCTTACCACCAAATGGTGATTTTTGGCCCATGAAAATTTATTCAAGTCAGAGTCATGTTCTGCACAAATCATCAAACATACAAACTTCTGACTTCAACTTCGCAGACTGCCGTCCCCCTATTGCCCCTTTCTTCCTCACCACCCCCCCCCCCAGATCTTTCCACTGCCCTCAGGGGGTAATTTCGCCCACTTTGGGAGCCACTGAACTAAACTAATCAAAATATTGCAAAACTAAAAAAGTGGTGTAATGTTCAACATTTTTACTATGTAGCATGAAGCAAATTAAGAAATCATACATTTGCTACCTCTAAAAAATCATTGAAGAAGTGCAAAAAGTGAGATTTTGAAAAAGTACCTCTGCTAAGGTCTGTAGCAAAAAGAATATTCTCAGTAGTACTAAAAAATTTTACTTACATAAAATTTGCACACAGGTGTTAGCTTAAAAACGTGATTGACGGAATTTGCATGTCTCAAAAAATGGCAGCCATTTCCGTATGATGGGATAATAAGGGACACCCCTAAAACAAAAAATTAATGCATCATCAGTCATTACAGAATTGTGCATAGAATGTCATGGATAGAATTGTGCACTGGGCAACATAGAATGAAAAGTAATTAACCTAAAATATGATTTATTTCACCAAAAATTATGATGGATGTCATTCAAATATTACTTTCTGTTTCAGGTATGTTTTTAGGATCTTTTTATATTATAGTCAATTCACTTGACCCAATTGAAATGGTGTGAAATTACAAGCTGTCCTGTAACATTACAGATACAGAAGAAATGCACAATGGCATGTTCATGGATAGGGTAATATCACATCAATAATACGATAATGTCTGGATATGGTAATATTACATCAATAATGGAAAAACCAGTAATAATCACAGAAAATCTCATATATTCTACATCATCTACAACAGAAGAGGAGGAGTTCAGAGTACTGTTTCAGAGTACTCATTAACACTCAGGAGCTAATATGTTATTACTTAATCGGCATGCTCAGACCATTTTTATTGTCTCAAAAATTCAAGGTGTGTCTTTTCTCATTTTGTGAATTCTTGTTTCATTTAAAAGTCAACTTGTCTCATATCCACTCATATCCAGGGTGCAGAGGGTGCAAGCAGTGTCGCCAAGAGAGTGATAATTAGTCCAACGCATTGCCAGCCATTTTCAAGATGCTTCATTGGGTAATTTTTAATGAGAAAATGCTGCAAGCAATTTTGCGCAAGCAACTCCCCTACTCTCTGCGCACTGCAAAACTTTCAATCATTGCAAACTTATTTCTGGAAAAGCTTCACTGCATCCTGATCCATTCAACGTACTGGAAACCTTACTGTGTGCGCTTGTTGTCTTTCAGATTTACAATTGCAATAATTTCAGATTAATTTCTAAAATGCAATAATTTCAATCCAAATGTGTCAGCAAGATCTTCTGAAGGCATAAATTTTGCTGCTGATGCATCACCAAAGATCTTTTGATAGTCACCCACTTTCTGTACCCTGGTGACTCGTATGGTTCCATAATATCTGGGACATAAGTTTCAAAGTACATGACACAACTCAGTTGTGTCCTGTACTTGTGATAAGAACTGGATAAGACTTATGTCATACAAGTCTTATCCAGTTCTTACATTTATTCCAGGACAAATTTTACCATCTGTCCTGTAATTTTTGACCTGGCAATTTCTCATCTCCTCCTGATTGTCCCCGTTTATTTCAAGAAAATTATTACAAGACGCAGCAATGAGCAATCTACTGGCATCCGTGATACTTATTGCATTACTACTTACTGTTCAATATAATTGGAAAATTCCTAATTCTTAGGTTATTACTAAAATCCTGTGGCTCATTTTAGTGTTATATTTTTGATAAATATGTAGTCTTATGGTTTGATCATGCACATAAGTAAACATACAGATGATGATACCATACCAATACCATGACAATTTAGAGGGAATCTTGGGGCCCCAAAAATGGCAAGAAATCAGTAGCTTGCAAAGTAGGTAGATATATTCCATGTCAGCTGAAATGCTGGTACAACTGGACCTGGTATACCTATAGCATAGCCTCATAGGACTTTCCAAGCAGTAAGAGCAAGAAATGAAATGGGTACCATAAAATGGGGTAACTTAGACCACTTTTTTTATAAATGATGCCATTTTTTTACTAGCTAAATTAAACTTGAATTGAAACATGCAAAATACAGGTCCATACTCTAACTTCACTCACCATAAATTGCTGGCTCCTGCCTCTCATAGTTTTTATGTTATTTCAAAAAAAGTGATGGTCTTTGTTACCCCAGCTCTTGGGGTATATTAGACTGGGTGGTAAAATCAATTATATTTTTGGTAAAATAACTCCAAATAACTCCAGGTTTTGGTGCATTGTAGTAGAACTCTTCTAGTTACATATGCAAATGACAAACTTGAGGAAAATGTCATAGTTTGCAAATGGGGGGCACCGCCCCATAATGAGGGAAATGTGACTAATTAGTTAAAAATTAAAAATTCTAAGACTCTGTAGAGTCTGAAACATAAAGAAAAAACATAAATAGGCTGTCAAACATAAAATATGTTATATATGGTAATTTTATATTAACTTCCAAGCCGGTCTATGTTACCCCATCAGGGCTGACATTAGGTGGTCTAAGTTCCCCCATTTGGGGGTGGATTAGATATGCAAACTTTTTAAATCTTTCTATTGTGTTATGTAGCCTCAGTATTAGGCCTTTAATGCCCATCGACAAAATTTTTCAATGCAGGTTAGGTCCAGTTAAGAACAGGTTCCATTAAAAATTTCCAATGCCGACCACCAAAAACGGATTTCAGATTCTTAATCTACACCCCAAAAAACATATAATTAAAAAAACACCCTTTTTTTCGATGCACTCAATCTAAAGTAATACCGGTAGGTACCATAAAACGTCCTTGGTGTTGGTAGCATTACTAGTGGGCCAATGGCCATGGTGCAGAAAGTGAGTTAATATTGAAGATTTTGGTGATGCATCAGCAGCAAAATTTATGCCTTCAGAAAATCTAGCTGACACATTTTGATTGAAATTATCGCATTTTAGAAATTGCTTTGTAATTATTGCAATTATTGCAAGCCTGAAAGAGTGCAAGCTCACACAGTAAGGTTTCCAGTACATTGGATGGATCAGGATGCAGTAAAGCTTGTCTGGAAATCAGTTGCAATGATGAGCATAAATGTTGCAGTGAGCCAGGGTCACTGTACGTCATAGTGTAAAACCAGAGATTTTTTATGATCAGTTCATTTTTAATTTCCTCATTCACTCACTACTTATAGAACTCAAAAATAAACTTGAAAACTCTAAAAAGTCTTGTCTTTGTCACCAAGCGTGGAAAACATCATCATTAGGGCCATGAGTGCCTGTGACTGGAGCTTTCCCACCATTTCCGCAACTGCAAGATTTACGCCAGATGAATTACCTCCCAGGCTAATACCTCCTATCTGATATTTAACAAATGTGCACAATTGGGCCGTGAGATTCCAAATGGAACCGCGAGATTTGAGAAACAAGTAGGAAAATTCCAATCCTGTTTGTCACTAATCACTATGCTGTACGTGGAGAGTAAGGGATTTACTATCAAAGTTGTTAGCTTGTTAGCAGCATTTTCTTGTTAAAAATTATCTGGCATTGCTGGCAACAGGCAAGGCATCTGAAAATGGCTGGCAATGCTTTGTGCTAAAAATCCGTATCTTGGCAATGCTGCTAGATGCCGAACAGGCAGAGGCAGTCTCTCACGAGGCGTGGCAAAAGTTAGTTGGCTGCAGGTATTCTGTTATGCTAGCACCCTGTCTGGAGCCTGGACTCCAAGACAAGTGGCCGTCACCTAGCCTAACTAGAAAATTGGCAAAAACCAGATTGAATGAGAGTACCATAAAATGGGGTTACTTTGACTGGCAGGGTAACTTTGACCACTTTTCGTTTTTTAACAAAAACTCCCAAAACTCAAAAACTATTTGACATAGAAAAATTTTGTCAATGGCCATCAAAGGCCTAATACTGAGGCTACATAACACAATAGAAAGATTTAAAAAGTTTGCATATCTAATAGGTTAAAAAATTAATAACGTGACCCACAAAAAAGAGCTATTATTTAAAGCCTGTTGGAGTACCCCCTATAATTTTTTTATTTTTTGGTAAAATAACTCCAGGTTTTGGTGCATTGTAGTAGAACTCTTCTAGTTTCATATGCAAATGACAAATTTTAGGAAAGTGTCATAGTTTGCAAATGGGGGGCACATAGGTACCTATATAACATATTTTATGTTTGATACACCTATTATGCTATTAATGTTTTTTCTTTATGTTTCAGACTCTACAGAGTCTTATATATGGTAATCTTAACTTAATTTCCAAGCGGGTCAATGTTACCCCGTCACCGCTGCTGCCTGCCATTAGGTGGTCACATAACAGGGGTGGAATACATCTACTTTTAACTGAAATTTTGCGGCGCGAGATCTCCCATTTATATGTAAGTTTGAAATCTCGCGGCTCGGAAGTCAGGTAAAATATATTGATTTAGAAATGTCGCGGCTCCAAAATGGGTCACGTGACGTGTGATGGAAGGGCAAGCCAGCGGTTGGCAGTTGTCGGCAGCAAAACGATAAAGAATAGTGCACCGGCCAATGTATCATTTGAGCTCATGTTGTTGCCACGTGCGGTTGTGCAGTGATAACTCCTAATCCCGTTTCCACAACAACTAGGCTTGGCGCCGGTCTGCGATGCATGGTGGCTTGATACCTGTAAGTATTCTTATCATCATATACATATGGCCTTATCATCTATTAATGTTTTTTCTTTATGTTTCAGACTCTACAGAGTCTTATATATGGTAATCTTAACTTAATTTCCAAGCGGGTCAATGTTACCCCGTCACGGCTGCCGCCTGCCATTAGGTGGTCACATTTTGCCCATTGGGGGGCAGCGCCCCCAATTTGCAAACTATGACACTTCCCACAAATTTGTCATTTGCATATGTAACTAGAAGAGTTCTACTATAATGCACCAAAACCTGGAGTTATTTTACCAAAAAATAAAATTGATTTTACCACCTGGTCAAAGAAACCCCAAGAGCTGGGGTAACAATGACCATAACTTTTTTTGAAATTACATCAAAACTATGAGAGGCAGGAGCCAGCAATTTATGGTGAGTGAAGCTAGCTGCTAGAGTATAGACCTGTATTTTGCATGTTTCAATTTAAGTTTAACTTATCTAGTAAAAAAATGGCATCATTTTGAAAAAAAAGTGGTCAAAGTTACCCCATTTTAAGGTATGAGACAAAAACGCCTGTGCTTGGGTTCAGTGAATTCACTGACTCTGAATTGAGGTACCTACCTATTATCTTTCATTAACGCCTGTGGCCCTGCGCTGTGGCGCTTTCCTAATTCAAGCAAATTTAAGAAAAAACGTCACATTTGTGCCTGCAATTTGTGTAAATCAAATCACCTGAGGCTGGAATGCTGAGAACTGAGAAACTATCAAGTAGCTATCAGCTTAGTTCAGCTACATTCAGATTTAACATTCTACAATTATACAATACATTATATTTCAAAGCAGGATGACAAAGAATGTTTTATCTATAATTGCAAATAAACATTTTCAAGGAAAAAACAGTCTTACAAAAAAAAATTGAATAAACTTGCAACTTTATGGAGCTTGCACAAAGACCAAAGTCACAAACAGAACTTGTTTCCCACATTACGACTGACGCTCAAATTCGCGATTAAACGTGTGTAACAACTGTTCATTATTATACTAACAACCAAAACTACTTAGAGAGGAAGAGAGCACTAAAATACAAGCGACTGGCAACTTTATGGAGCTTGCACAAAGACCAAAGTCACAAACAGAACTTGTTTCCCACATTACGGCTGACGCTCAAATTCGCGATTAAACTTCTGTAACAACTGTTCATTATTATACTAACAACCAAAACTACTTAGAGAGGAAGAGAGCACTAAAATACAAGCGACTGGCGTAACTTGCACTACAAGACACATTGACACAAAGAACATTTACCACTTACCACTACCAGTAGCAGAATAGCACTCTAAATGTTAGTTATTAAGTAGGTACCTACGCAATTTCGAAATTTACAGGGAACTTTTCTTTGCGATCAGCTGTTATTGTTCCGTTTACAAAAACAGAAAAAAATACTCTCAGCATAACCACGTTGTTAATATTACACTAAGTTAACTTAAATATCATATAAAGATTAAAAAATAAAATTCTGCAATATTTTTAGGAATAAATTGATAAAATTAGTATTTGTTTAGGGTAATTATTTTACGTTTTTTCGTTGTTCCGAATGATTCACGTTGCGTTGTTGCCATAGAATTTTGAAAACATAAATGTGCATCCTCCATTACAGTCTCCACGAGCCAGCCATTCGTGTTTTGTGACGGTGATGTATTTTGTATGATTCACTGGTTTCGCAGGAAAGTTCTTTATAATCATTGTCTGTATATTGATCCAATTTTATTAGTAGTTTTCTCCACTCCCAGGCTTCCTGAGCGACTGAGCCAAAGTTATTATTTTCGGAAGATGATTGTCCTGACTAACCTACGTAGTTAGGTTAGGTAGTCTATAGAATTATAATGTATAGGTAGTTGCTTATGAGTTACGATCTTTGCCTAAGTTACCAATCCTAGTAATAGTGATTCATACTGAATCATTGAATGTGAAGTTACACGGTCTGTGCTTGTGCATAGTGTCAATTTATTTTTTTCCCGGAATTTTCTCGTCTCGTTTCGTCTGTCCCGGTTCATTTCGAGAAAATTATTTCGAGACGCAGGAGTCTATTGGTTACCACTGTGCAGAGAGTGGATGAATATTGCAAGATCTTTGGCGACGTTTCAGTAGCAAAATTTACGCCTTAAGAAGATCTTGCCAACACATTTAGATTGAAATTCTTGCATTTAATATATTTGTCAGTCTTGGCCAACTATTTAAAAAAAGTAAAGTTTCCAGTATATTGGATGGATCAGGATGCAGTGAAGCTTGTCCAGAAATCAGTTGCGATGAGTTCCCGCCAAAAAAATGTAAACATCAAGTTTACGATTACGTAGTTGCGGTCACATTAGAGCGGTCAGACTGTATTATCACATGTTCAGTTGACACTTGCTGTACAATCGGACTGTTTTTAGGGTAAAATTAGTTATTTGGAGTAACACGTTTATGCAACCTTGTAAATAAGTTTGTGGCTTGTAAATAGTTTTTCATTACTCAGCGTAAATGGCTTTTCATTAAAAATTACCCGGCAACGCATCTTAAAATTACCCGGCGACACTTAGGGCTTAAAAACCCATATATTGGCGATGCTGCATCCACACTCTGCACCCTGGAACCAGGGAAGGTTTGTTATGGAGTCATCACTCCTGTTGATATTGGAGCTGATATATCTGCTATGGAGAAGCGTGTTAAAGTAGATAGTCCTTGTAAATTTGTGAAAATGGAGAGGTTACGCAAAAATCTAGAAGGTAAGCCTGTGCCCTCTAGTCTCTACCTCAATTAGGGTGGTTTTTGAGGGTGGGCAGCTTCCTAATAGAATGAAAATTGGCTATATTGCCTACTCCATCTGCCCCTACATCTTTCTTCCATTGCAATGCTACCATTGCCAACGGTATGGTCACTCGGCAGATGGCTGCAATAGTAAGAAGAGATGTCTCGTGTGTGCTGAAGAACATCATTACAAGGAATGCACAAGCAAGCAGCCAAAATGTGCCAACTGTGGTGGAACACATAAAGCCAACTTCCCAGAGTGCCCTAGGGCCCCAGGGCATGCCCAACAAGTGAGACCTAGCAACACTAATAATGTGAGTACCAATTTTATACGTGGGAACAGTGAATTGGTTCACCACCCCCACTCAAGGTGGTATGCCTGGTCACATGACTAGCTTGATGAATGCACCTGCAGATCTGCCATCAGATCCAGTATGCCTTGAGAGGAGATATGGACAGAGATTTCTGGGAGAACATAATGGCAGAGTGTCAGCTGATGTCCACCACCAATTGAATAGTCCTATTCAGGGATTCTCCTCTCCAATGTACAGTCAAGTAGTCTCAAATCAGCCCTTAGTGCCACTGTGCAGAGAGTGGATGAATATTGCAAGATCTTTAGCGACGCTTCAGTAGCAAAATTTACGCCTTCAGAAGATCTTGCCGACACATTTAGATTGAAATTCTTGCATTTAATATATTTGTCAGTCTTCGGCCAACTATTTAAAAAAAAGTAAGGTTTCCGGTTTGTTGGATGGATCAGGTCAGTTTATTTTGCCTTCCTTAACTGTCAGGCTTTAGTTTACAACCAGATAAGACTCCTGGCAGATGATTTGTCTACCAGGAATTCTGCAGCCCAAAAATGCTGGAAAAGCTTGTGTTCTAACTTAACAAGTAGATTATTTCCATGCCCAACACCTGCTACCTTCTCTACTATAATCTATCTTCTTAACCTTTTCTCTTTTTTGTGCCAAAATATTTGTTCCTTCTTGATTACCTACTTATCAAATTCATGTACTCATAGTAATTACTTTACATTGCTTCTTACTTGTTTACGTTTATAAGATATGAAAATGAATGAAAATTTCTAACAAAAATTATATACATGGAACCAGACTGTAAAATGAGGCCCTCTAGGTAGAGATCTTTCAAATGTTCCATTAGCTACCTTGAGCTTAACTTGGCATCTTTTGTTAATTGCTGGTCCAATTACCATTAATCGATCTTGAGTTTATAATTGCATTTCTACTGCCTTTGTGAAACTGATACATATAATTCAATTTTCCTAATTACTAGCACAGAAGTAGTAAAAAAGTTGCATGCAGTGCACAGAAAACATGGCATTTTTTTAGAACCTTTAATCTATATACTCATAAGAAACAGCCGACCATAATCATTTCACTGTGTTCTTAACATTACCCTACAATGTGATTGCTTCAGAAACCCTCTTAGTGTCAATGAGTTAATGGAAAAATCTAAGCAAAAGTCGTTTTTGAGATGTAATTCCAGGATGTTTTAGGTGTGAAATAAATTTGTTAAGTCAATTCATTTGCCAAGTCATAAATATTCTGTCTAATTTGCCCATTTATTCACCTAATAAATATTAATTGAATCATTTCAATCATTTTGCCAGTTGTTTGCCATGTAATTTTTTTTTTTAGTTTTTGCTATACCTATTTATGTTGATGCTTGTGTTCAGATGCGACTGTGATAAGAATGCATTAATGTAAACAATTAGTTATTTCCATTTAATGCTGCCATTTTAGCTGATCTAAAAACAAAATCATAAAATTCAAAGCTATTCTGCCAATGTTTTCTGAGAGCCCCAAGATTTTAGATTAAACCCAAATTTGGGATTTTGTAACATTAAAATTTCAAATTGTTTCTCTTTTTTCAAAATTGTTTCTCTCCATCGAAATCTATGTAGATCTTTGGATTAGTGATATTAGATTGGTAGGTCGACTAAACTATCTTCAAGTAGACTAGGTATATTTAGTTCTGTTATAAAATGGGCAAAGTCACAATTGTATTCCTATATAGTTTAATAATTATAGCTTTAATTTGATGTAAACTTATAATATTTTGAATAATAATTTTTATAATATTTTATATACTCATACCTTGAGATTCCCTTATATGAATGCATATAAAATAAAGTTATTATATTGTGATGAAACCTTCTGCATTTTTTCCAGTATCTAATTAAAACTACAGCATTTTACCTACTGAGTGTTGGATGTGGTAAATTATTTTAAAACATTTTTAAAGTTGTAAATCAGTAAAAAAGTGGAATTCAGCTTGTTGGAGGCGTCTGAAAATTACTTCACAAACTTCAGCAAGTGATCAAACCTGTGTCAGTGATTTGAACTTAAACTTAAACCCTAAATTTAGGCTCCTACTTGAACTTCAACTAGCGACCAAATTCCTCAAGTTACAAGCTGCTGGACTAGTGACCCAACTCCAAGTTTCATCATTAGCTGTGGAGGGTGAACCTCATCTGTGTTGACGCCATCACCTCTGCAACAGGTAAGATGCTAATATTAATTATATTATTATATACTTTTTATTATTTATATCCATTATCAAGATGAATATGAGAGGTAAGAGTCTATAGTATAATTATACAATTTACACCCTTCATTATTTCAACACAATTAATAATTATATAGTCATGATAGATTATGCACGCCTTTTGCTGTTATTGGGCACGAGTTGTGCCGTTATTGGTCACATGTGACGCCATTATTGGGCATGTGTGGGGCTGTTATTGGGCACGCGTTGCGCTGTTATTGGGCACGAGTTGTGCCGTTATTGGGCACGAGTTGCGCTGTTATTGGGCACGAGTTGTGCCGTTATTGGGCACGCGTTGCGCTGTTATTGGGCACGAGTTGTGCCGTTATTGGGCACGTGTGACGCCATTATTTGGCATGTGTGGTGCCGTTCGCTGTTATTAGGCACGCGTGGCGACGTTATTGGGCATAAGTGGCGCTGTTATTGGGCACGTGTGGCGCTGTTATTGGGCACGTGTGGCGCCGTTATTGGGCACGTGTGGCGCTGTTATTGGGCACGTATGGCGCCGGTATTGGGCACGCGTGGCGCTGTTATAGGGCACGTGTGGCGCCGGTATATAGGGCACGCGTGGCGCTGTTATAGGGCGCTCGTAGCGTTGTCCTTGATCGTACCTCGCTACCTCCATGCAGTTGTCACTTGTCAGTGCCGTGGTAGACGTGGAGGAGAGCGGTCGTGTGGTGTCATGCCGTCCAAGAAGAACAGAAGCGTGAGTGCGTCTTAGGTAACGTCAATGCCACTTGAGTCGCCACAGCACTTAGGTCGCCAGCCTTTTAACAGAAACTATTCTGGCAATCGAACCCTTCAAATCGTAGTCCTGACCAGTATTTTATGTTTTTTGTTGACGAGCGGCGAGTTAAATGCTGAATGGCGACTCAAGTGTCATTGACGGTATTTGTGCTCTAATTAATCATTGTGGTTCATTTATTGAGTGTTATTTACACGAGTCAAGTTGCGACTGCAAGCAAAGTTCTTAAGTTTATTAGAGTTCTTTTTTTCGCGGTTTGTTCATGTTTTTTGTGAAAAAAAATTCATCGGAATTCAATGCATAAATTATCGCGCCCAATTTTTTTTAGTTCATTGTAGTTATTTTCGCCTACAAACCAGCAAACCGCAAGTTGTGGTGCCCTGAGAGATCGAGTCTTCAGTGCAGCTGACGAATTAGTGACTTGAATTAATCCCAGTTTCTATTTTTTTATTTTGTGTAGTAACTATCGGTGTACGTTTCATTTATTGACGTTTATTTTCGCCCACACCTTGCCTAGTTTAAAGAGGAATAATTCTGAAGGGAATTCTCTCACGACTGATGGTGGGCCTGGGAGAGGAAGGCTCTTATCTCGGCTCGAGTTGTGGTTACCTTATCTTCGTTTACGCTCACGTGCAGATAACACCTTATAAATAACGCTATTTGCGTCACGCTACGTTAATTCACATAAAAATTGCGTTAAATAGCGTTATTTGGTGACCGTAATGAACTACGCAGGTACCTGCGACACTGAGGGCGACGACGTTTTTGTTTCGTATGTTTGATTTATAATTAATACGGCTAATACGCGCGTATTTCTCGCGTGCTATAGCAATGCTCAGAAATAAGTTCGTATAAATCGAAGTGCTGGGCTAGATAATGATTATTTGATATTGAAATAATATAAGTGTTCGGTATATTGAATATAATTATATCTATATGTCTAACCAATATTTATATGCCTATACAATATACTACAATATTTTTACAATAATTTTACAATAACAATAATTTATAACAATAATATACGTTATTAGGCAATTGAAAGAAAATTTTGAAATAATTATATCCTTAACAATTGACATCTTTGACTGATGAATTAACATTTTGTGTTTGAATGTTGTTGCAATGATATTCGCATGATTTAATATCAATTTGTATGAATTTTTCGATGTAAATTCAGAAATGATGTGTAGTTGATGAGGTAATTGAACCTGATAAGTGGCACAGCTGATGAGGAGTCAGCAGTTGTTGATCACGAGCTCGCCTCATCATCAGCAGGCGAACATCAGCTGCCGACCTCGCTTGGGAGCAGGAATTTTTAGTGAGAGAGTTTGTCTTGAAGATGTGAACCAAGAATGCTTCCTACCTCGAATGGTTCATACAGCGAATGGTTCCTACCGCGAATGGTTCCCACCACGTATGGTTCCTACCGCGAATGGTTCCTGCCACGAATGGTTCCTTATTACGAACGGTTCCCCGCAAATGGTTCTCCGCTATGGTGACCTGAACGTTCCGTGCACCATCTCGTTTGGACCGTGAACGTTCCGTGCACCATCTCGTTTGGACCGTGAACGTTCCGTGTACCATTGCGTTGGCACCGTGAACGTTCCGTGTACCATCGCGTTGGGACCGTGAACGTTCTGTGCAATATCGCGTTGGGACCGTGAACGTTCTGTGCAATATCGCGTTGGGACCGTGAACGTTCCGTGCAATATCGCGTTGGGACCGTGAACGTTCCGTGCAATATCGCGTTGGGACCGTGAACGTTCCGTGCAATATCGCGTTGGGACCGTGAACGTTCCGTGCAATATCGCGTTGGGACCATGAACGTTCCGTGCAATATCGCGTTTGGACCGTGAAAGTTCCGTGCAATATCGCGTTTGGACCGTGAACGTTCCGTGCAACTATTGCACAAATATCGTGTCTGCAAAACTCGCATGGGAGACTCCAAGTCCACAATTCCATAGCAAGCAATGACCCAAACATATACAATGAAATCAGTAATGATTTATCTGCTGAATACAATTATAATAATAAATAAACCCTGCATGCAGTTGTAGGTGTGATGTTTACACATTTTGTTAACGTACTTGTGCAAGTCTTTTAGTCGTATTTTAATTTTTTAGACCTTGAATATCAGGTTTACGAATAGGCAAGCGTATATATGCTTGTTGTATAAATCTGTTGGGAACTGGTTTTACTCATCATCGCCTTCAGATTTATTTGGCCACGTTCGCGCACAGAAAAGTAAGTGGGTCGCATTGACCAAATAGTGACACACTTTCTTACCACAGCGCGAGCAGAGAGCGCACATACCGCTGATACGACGGTTTCTTTTCTATCGCTTAAAACCCGCCAGTTATTAGCACCGGAGATGAAACTTACCTCTCATTTTATGTTTACAAGGAAAGTCACGTCGCTATTGTTGTTATTATCATTATCTTACCTTGGTGATTAATTGTGTGTGATTATCTCCTTGCTTCACGCATGTCTTCATAACATCAGTGGTTGTTGATGAGATCCGTTATCTCGCTCCACGTCTTGCGCTTATCAGTTTATCGTTCAGCACAGCGTATGTCTCAGGGTTTGGGATATTCGATGCAGTTTCATACCAGTTGCGTTGGCGATGCAAACGCGTGCAGTATATTAGAGCATGGGGCCTTAGTTATACTAAAATTAAGTAAGTTAAGTTATTCAAATTAATCATGAATCGCCAAATTAAAACATATGAATGAGGTAAAACTGAACAGACAAACGTAACTATTTACAATTTCGAGGGGATAAATATCCTTTCTATTTCATATCCCCATGAAATTATAAGTAGATGGGTTTGTCTGCTCATGTCTACCTCATTCTTATTAATCAAGTCAGTGACGCATTCGTGTTGCAGCCGTAACTCCATGTGCCAGCTGTTAGGCAAAGTTGCAGCAATAACTCCACGTTGTAGAAATAAATGCGAGTTACAGCATAATGACGACATGAGTTATAACCCTAAACTTCCATCTAGTTAATATTTGTTCCATGTTAAGGGCACATTGCAAGCTCTATGTCTACGGAGACTCGTAGTTCTGTACGCAATTATTTGTATAGTCCACTATATATGCACTAATAACGTGTTTTCTTCAATTTTTCATCTTGTATCCTGACACTCTTTTCCTGTTTTAATGATTTTTATTTAATTGGATGTTTAATTTGAATTTGCGCGTAATTTTTGTTCCTTTTGGTTTTGATGCATTATTAGACATCTTCATGCTACAGCAAAGAATTGATTCAGTTTATCTTCCCTCAACAGAGTTTCATCAGAAGGAAGCCTTCAGAACCAAGAAACAATCCCGGCAAAATGACCGAGAAAGGGCACATTCTCACCCAATTTGAAGAAGTGTATGGGAAGCACCTGGAGCATGAGGTCATAAAAACCATCCTCCAAAGTGTTCAATGGAACACGAAAACCGCCCTCGAGGCCTTCAGCTCCATGGTAGACGAGGCCAGCCTTTCTGTCGCCGCGAAGGCAAAAATCGCCAAACTTGCTAGTCTCACCGTCTGCTCAAACGGACCTCAAGAAAACCTAGAGTTCGCAATTATTCCTGATGCTGAAGCAACTTCTCTGCTTCACAACCCTACCCCACCTTCAGTTCCGCACAACTCACCTTCAGTTTTGCCTAAAATAAACTCATCTCAAGACTACCGGAACTGTCAAGCAGACAAGAGGAATTCGTCTAACGATTCAAGTGTTGGGGCGGAGGCCATGGGTCGAACATCCCCAACCGAATGGCCCCAGACGAAGACCTTCAAAGCGAACAACAACAACGTAAACTGCAAGGTCACAAACTTGTCCCGGAACCCAACCTTTACAAACGAACATCGCACATATGACAAATTCCTCAGCGATGCCACTCAGCTCAAGAAAGGCCTGCCTGTGTCGGAGGCGAACAAGTCTAATCACATGATGGCCATGTCGGTAACAGAGAAGCCCACATGCATGATGCAGCTCATAGAAGTGATGCTCAGCAACGGTACCGAGATCCTTGTCATCATGCGGGGGTTACCGGGCAGTGGTAAATCCACACTTGCTAGGAAAATTACCAACGGCCGCGGGATCATCTTGAGTGCTGATGATTTCTTTGTGACCGCCAGCGGACACTACGCCTACAACCCTGACCAGATCTCGGAGGCCCATGAGTGGGCCCAGCGTAAAGCTCGCGACGCAATCAGGCGCCACGTGAACCCCGTCGTCATCGATAACACTAACCTGCAGAAGTGGGAAATGAGACCCTATGTTTTGATGGCTCTCGAAATGAATTATAAAGTTGAATTTTTAGAGCCAGATACGTCGTGGAGGTATAACAGTAGGGAATTAGCTCGTAGAACCAGGCATAACGTTCCAAGGGAAAAAATAGAATCTATGATGGATAGATTTGAAAGGAATGTGAAATTGAAAGATTTCGATATTCCAGCTAAATTTCTTAATAATGTTAATTGCAATTTTACTAACAAAGTTAGTAACACAACAAATGGGGTAGCTTTCAGTCATCTTCAAAAGGGTTATAACGTACCATCGTTCACTCCTGGCAGATCAAATTTTAGCGTTCCCTGTTCATTACCCATCGTAGCTAAAATCCATCAATCTTCGGTGCTTGCTCCTCCTGATTCTTCCAACAGTATTCCATCTGCTACGCGTGCCTCTCTTCCTTATTCCTCCACATCACCACCTTCAGCATCTGCGTTATCAAATGATTCCTCCACCTTACTACATGAGTTCTCTCCTTCACCACGCGTTTCTCCATCGGCACCACCTGAATCACCAAGAGCACCTCTTGCTACCTCAACGGCATCACCTATACCTTCAACTGAACATGTGGATTCGTGCTCTTCACCTCCGCATTCTGCCCCTCTTCTTCTTAGCGATTCCGTACCGCATGGTCTGACTTTACAATCCTCGGCTGAAATTTTTGATAAAGAGGCCTCTTCTACTGCTCATATTGCTCTTGCCTCGCTCATTTCCACTGCAGCCTCCGTTTCCACTGCCACCTCCATTTCCACTGCCACCTCCATTTCCACTGCAGTCCCCATTCCTACTGGAGTCCCCATTTCCTCTGCCGCCTCCATTTCCACTGCAGTCCCCATTTCCACGGCAGCCCCCATTCCTACTGCAGCTACCATTTCTGCAGCCGATAATATTCCTACTGTCGCTCCTATTTCTGAGTTTTCAGTAAAGGCAATAGTTAATGCCTACAAGGAAAGCCTTGAGAGCGACTATTTGGTTCCATCGCGTGAAGCCTCTCCCGTTATATTCGACAGCGACGAGTTCGAAGATATCGTCGACAGCTTAGACGTGGAGGTTGGTAAGCAGATTCAGAAGACGGGTGAGACCAGTAGACCGCCACCTGTCGAAGATGAACAGAATGATTCGGCCACCGAAGACGCTAAAATGTACCAGCTATGTGAGGACTTGGAAGACAAACTCGGTGATACCATATCGTCCTTAATTCGTCCTACGCTTGTTAGAGCCACCGAAGATTATCATAACGATAACGCCTTTGACGGAGAAAGTTCATTGTTGCCTAACCTTGACACGCCTACGCGGAAGAGTATAAAAGTCCCTGACCTGGACACCGTGACCGAAGAAATTACGCAGGACCTTAGTAAATTAAATACCCGCGAGGATGACGCGGCGGGTTCTGTCTCGGATGCGACGTCTAACGATGCTTCGAGTGTGGAGCTCGTGAAGGAGGACGATGCGTTGGAAAAGGTTCACGAAGACGAATGGGATTGCGTACGTGATTCCAGCAAGGTCTCCTGGGACGAAGAAACGGAAGGAAAACTTCCTTCTTTCGAAGCTCCGTTAGAAGCGCGTGCCGTTACTCGGGTTCGAAAACACCAATCGAATGATGACGATCTCGTGGAAGTCATAGATTTGAAGAAACCATCTAATGAGCCGGTGGTTGATGATGGATGGAACGCGAGCCCCGACGTCAACAGCTGGAATGATGACACAGATTATAATTTTCAAATCACAGCTATGCGTCAAACAGGTGCCGTACCAAAGAGAAGTCGAGAACCAAAGAAGGACACTCCCTGTCGCCCGCATGCTTCTGACTCTAGCTTTGGTAGCATCATTCATAACAATCTGGTGGAACATTTAGAAAAAAGCTCGCAGACTGACTTCAATATAACTCTCGGTGTTAATTCACTAACTGTTCTGTTCGGTAACGCCCGCGGCTTCGTGTCGAGCGGTCCTCCTGACGTGACGGTGGAAGGTCCCATGACGCGCGGTAGTCTGCGCCTCGATAAGGGCACCATGACGGACGAGCTGCAAGTACAGGACGTAAAGGCCGAAGTTCAGCACTTGAAATGCTTCTTTCCTAGCATTCCTGACGACAGCCTCGAAGACATCCTCGAGAAATGCAACAATGACGTGGACTGGGCCATGAACGTTTTATTAGATGGCGGATATAAAATTGCTGGGGATGGCGGCGAGTTGATTGATTACTCGTTCCCTGATTCAGGCAAGTCAAGTTGCTCCAACTCCTTGATGAGTTCAAGCTCGGAACTGCCGTCCAGGTCGTCGTCTCCGAACAGAATTAAGAAGAAAACAAGGCGCAGAAAAAATAAAGCGAAACGTCAGCCGTGCGAAGAGTTCCCTTCCCTAAGCCGGTCTCCGCTTCTCAAGCTCCAGACGAAGGATAGTGAACTGAGATCCACTTCTTCGTCACCGGCGTTGGGGAAAAGCGCTTCACCATCAAACTCTGATGGGGTCTCCAATTCAGCTGAAAATAGTGTTTCGGTTGACGATTATAAGAACTTTGATAAGGTATCGCTTGAACTTGATTCCTTATTCGCGCATCAGTTGGTAAACATTTTTGGGCCAGTCGGCAATCTGGATTTGAATCATTCGTTCACTGCCGGTGAACGTAGAATTTACCTCCCGCTTCGTCTGTGCAAAGAAATTCATGAAGTGTGGAACCAGACGATGAGTAAAGATTTGGGGCAGCAAGACTCCAGGACCCACCAACTTCATATTTCCGACGCGGCTTATGCCATGCAACTGCAGATGGAAGAAGACAACCACAAGACCAACAGAGATGGCAGTGGAAGCAGCGGCAGCCCTCCTAGTTTTTTTGAAGGTTTCGGTTGCAGTGAACCACCCACAAGCCTTCGGGAAATCATGGACCTTGAGAAAGCCTTCCAGCGCAGCGTCAAGAAGGACCCTATGAACAGCATGGCTCTCCGGCTCTCAGAGCGACGGCTGTGCAGCGAGTTCACCCACGTGGACGCGAACGTGGTGAAGGATACGCTCATGGAATGCAAAGGGAAGTACGAAGATGCCATGGCCATCCTCGTGGCCAACTTTGGGGCGGCACCCGTGGGCGGCCAAAAGCCCGTTACCGAGATGGCCGAGGCGGTCAGAGATACCGAGGAGATGGCGCTCCTGGAACAACAACTCAGGCAGGATATGGACTCCGGCTCTTCCATCATCGAGAATACCAAGGTAACTTCCTCGATTATATGACCTGTTCTTTATAAGTAATGAAATATAACTGTTTTATAAAATATCATGTTCTAACCTTTGAAGTTTCAGCTTTGACTCATTAGATTTGACTATAATTGATAGTAATGTCCAACCCTTCCAGGGCATGTGGGGCGAGTACGAGCTGTACCAAAGTCTGCGCAAGACTACGCTGGAAAAAGCCAGCCTCGTGACAGGCCCGAACGCCCCGCTCATCAAGAGCCACTACATGCAGCAGGCCGCGCAGTTCGCCCTCAAGATGAAGGCTGCCGAAGACGAAACGAACATGAAGGTCCTGCAGCAGCGCAACTTGGGACGTGATCCTAACACGCTGGATCTGCACGTCCTGACGGTTCCTGCCAGTCTGCTGGCCTGTGAGAGGTTCTTGCAGGAGAGGCTGCAGGCCCTGCAGACGTATGCTGACGCGGGAGGTCCTCGCAAGATGACCCTGACTTTCATCACAGGATGGGGCAGACATTCACAGCAGGGCAAGAGTAAAATTAGGCCTGCTGTACGGAATTTGCTGGAAAAGAAGGGGTATAGGATTAGGACTGAGGAAAAGAATCCGGGTGTTATAACCTGTATTATATCCCTCTGATGGCTCGCCATCGTCGCGCTTCTTTGCCGAACACGAGGCGTGACGTCTCGATTTTACGCTCTCAGTTGTCCGGTGTTTTATGTACATAAATTTTCAATTGTGTTGATTTGCGTTAATTGTATTAGGGGTTATTCATGTATTTTGCACCATTTTTGCCGGCTTTTAAGATACTATAGGGATGAAATATTTTTAGACCAACTTCACTTCGTTCTTGAAAATAATATTGCGAACTAAATCAATTCTTTGGCATCACTTTTTAGTATGAGTGTTAGTATTGATTATTTCGGTGATTTTTTTAAGCACAAATTTTAGCTTTCTATTTTGCAATACGTGCATAATAATTGTATTCTACATTAATTACGAGCTACCATGCTTTTAACTTAACGTTGATTTTTTTATCGTTGTTAGCTGCATTTAACTTGTCGTATTAATGTTGATGGCTGTTTAATGTTGGCTTTTGTGTGTGTGAAATTCTTTGCAATCCGCAATTGTTAAATATTTGTACTTTTTAATACGTGTACTATTAGTAATAAGTGAATGTGTTTAAAGTCCAAACTTCTAGCGTGTGCCGACGAAAAACTTCGGATCCCTCTGAAGTATTTTAATATTCTTGAACAGTAAATTTTATTTTCATTATTGTAACGAAAAATTCTGCAAGATAAACTTGATTATCAGTCTTATGGTAATTGCATTAACGTCTTTAATTAATTATGAGCTCCATTGATTAGTTATTTTAAATCTAAGCTCCATGAGTTCACTCCATGATTTTCCTCATTGAATTCGAAATCCGCAAGTTCAACATTATTAGTTCGGCTTCAAATTTGCCTATCCAATTGTCACTTGTGTATTATGATTTGCTTTTCAATTGAATATTCAACAGATAACCACAATTTTATTTATTTTCTTTCGTTTGTAAGGGCTTTACTTCTTAACGATAAAAATTCATTAGTCAGTCTCAAACTCGATTTTGATATGAAAATAATCGCTATATTCACAGCAATGAACGTCGTACAAAACGTTGAATATCGAGCTAGGATACGCTTCACTGCAATGAACGTTGTATAAAAACGTTAAATATCGAGCTAGGATACGCTTCACTGCAATGAACTTCGTTCAAAAAATGGTGAATATCAAGCCATATAATTGCAGCTACATTATCGTATAAAGCTACAACAACTAATTAAGGCTACAGCATATAATTGCCGTTACACTGTCCTAAAAATCTACTCCGTAGAAATACAGCAGTAGAAAAATGTAGTAGATATAAATGTAAAAGATGAATGAATGATTGAAAGTCTTGGAGACTCGTGAGAAATTAGGAATACCTATACGAAAATTCTTGAATAAAGCATAATAAATGACTATAAAATTTACGGGAGATGAAAATTGAATTAAGAAATGAATGAATAGAGAGAAGTACACTTGCACAGTTAATTAACAGTAAATGATATATTTAATATGAATGATTAGAAAATGCTTTAAAACTGAACCAAAAAAGCATGTAAATGAACTGTGTATACATTATGAATGGGAAATGCATGCAAAATTCATAAGTGTAAAGTTAGCGATAAATTCACAAATGGGAACCGAGTAACAAATTTATGAATGAGGGATAAATTTATGTATGATTTTTTATTTATATTTACACTCTAATTGAAGCAGATTTTTCTTAATGGTTGGTGCGTTGTAAGAGGGAGAATGGCTAACAGAATAGAAGTGTCGGCACTGAAAATATAGGCCCATGGCCTGTTGCCGATTCTTGTAATATTAGTGACTTGATTCACAAGGGATCAGGCCTTTGCAACCCGACCTTTCCATAACTGACGAATTGATTGAGATAGCTGCTGGACTTATTGCAAGGCCCGTTAGGTGCTAGGCATTTTAAGACTGAACATATGCTCCTGCTATTAGTGACTTGATTCACAAGGGATCAGGCCTTTGGAACCCGATCTTTCCATAACTGACGAATTGATTGAGATAGCTGCTGGACTTATTGCAAGGCCCGTTAGGTGCTAGGCATTTTAAGACTGAACATATGCTCCTGCATAGCCTCGTCTAGTCAGTTCTTGAAGGCATTCATACTCGGAGCGTCAACGATGCTATCAGGGAGGCTGTTCCACATGTCGGTGACTCGAAGCGAGAAGAAATGTTGTCGCATGGATGTGTTACAACGCAGTTTTTTTTAGTTTATAGCCGTGGCCCCTGGTGTTGGTGGTGAGTTGTGAGAGGATAGGTTATAAATGGTGAACGAGTTGTTAGAGGGTCGTAGCAGAGCGTTAAATTGTACCAAGTTCAATCAACTCAACTCTAGAAAACAGTTAGCCTATGAGTACTACATTTCTAAAGACCACTGAGATCCAATTATTACTATTTTTACTATGCTATTCGGTTGTAAATCGAAGATCATCTTAAGATTTAAGGTGAACTCAACGATTAGGTTTCAAGATGATATTTTTTTTCGTACAGTGTTTCGAACCTTCTCGCTTGACTTCGTGACAGTATGCGGAAAAATTATGCAAAAACAGTGTGAAACATTAATATTTTTTTAAGTAATGCCTGAGGAAATATACTTATTTGCTCTTTCTTGATAAACGACTTTGCGATATCATAGAATATAGGATTACTAACGCAGCTAGCACCCTCGATTACCTGAAAATATTTAGGAATGATTATGATTAATAAAAGTACCTATTGATCATGACTTGCAGTTACAAGATGATCTAGATTGTCTAGTTGATTGGGCTGATACATGGCAGCTGCATTTTAATGCTGTGAAATGTAAATTACTTCACATTGGTAAGACAGAACAGCAGGATTACAGTATGAGAAGATATTGCTGCAGCGATAATGTGCCTTGAAAGTCGATAGTGGAAAAAAAACTTGGCAGTTCGTGTCGAAAAGAAGCTGAAATTTTCTAAGCATATCGAAGCGCAAGACAATAGATCCAATAAACTGCCATGGTTGAACTATGTAAAGTTGACCCACGCTTCGAGAAATTATGATCCCGTTCTGCTTATCTTTATGACGTCACAAGTATCGGAGAGCGTAAACTAATGTCCTAAGTGTCGTCAAACACGCGTTGAAATTGTCTGTTTTGAACTAATTTAAAAAAACTGACCTCAAAATATAAAAAAAATACAAAATTGCAATAAATCTTGTTCTTATCCAAGCTAGCATCATAAACTGACTCCGTCGTACGGAAATATAAATAAATGGACAAAATAAATCTTCGGGGGCTGACCGATCAATTTCATGCTTTGCTAGTGGCTGCCACTCCTCGGATGGTCAGATCGGGTGGATAGCTAGAGGTCAGCATAGCCCAAGTCCATCCTGCGCCGCCTGTTGCGGTAGGGCCTGTTGCGCTCCGGCCAGTTGTGCTCCGGCGCTGTGAAGCAGTGGCTGTGTTGTGCAAAGCGGATTTACTGTTAGCTGGAGTTACCAACAGCTCATTGTTCTGAGGCTATGTGTAGATATTCCTTGCTGATGGTTGGCGTTAGGCCCAGGGCCTGTTTACGAGTCAATTTTGTTACCCACGGCTGCGCTCCCGTCACGTCATCCGCCGGATGATCGGAAAAAATAAATTTAAGCGTCCTCAAACAAATTCCGATTTCGCCGGGTAAGTAGATTTTTGCATCTATTTGATTGATATTATTCATTGTTTTTACCCTATTGATGCATCTCCTCTTAATTTCAAATCGATATAATATGATTACTACTTGCACTGCCTTGCAATTTTATATCGATTATAAACAATAAAGTAAACCAGCAAAAGAGTGATGAATAAAAACGGCAAAATTCACAGAAATACCTTCTTGACGAAAAAGTAATATATTGGATGGGCACTTTACTCTTTATTTAGCCGTTTATTTGAAGTTTAGATTACTAGCCGACCTTAAAAATCATTAGAAGTCAACCCACTCGGTTGATCGTTTTCTTTCCAATTTAAATGGTTAACTGCACGAAATAATTGCATTTTGTCACCGGCAATGTGTTATGGAAGACTAGTTAACACACTGAACACTTTTTCAAAAGATTCGAGGAGGTCAGTTATTTAAAAAGTTGGTTCAAAGAGGACACTTTTTGAATGGAGTTCACGAGCAGTATTCAAAATTTGAGCCACAGGTGACGTCACAGATGGAACAATACCCGACATCTTGGTCAACCTTGTATTAGTTCAAGCATGGATCCGTTGGTCCTACGACTACCTAGATGCGGGAGCGATGAAGCAGTTGTTTGTCACTCTCCTGCGCCCGCAAAAAGAGTTTGGAAATTCTGTGCAAAAAAAACACAAATTTTGTCGAGAATGTTCATAGACATACAACAAGGATGATTCCAGGCTCTAAATGCAAGTCATATGAAAAAATTGATTGATTATTAAGCTTTCAAGTCTTTGTTTTCGACGTTTGCATGGGCATTTAATCGAAATATATAAGTATTATCATGTTTTATTCAATATTCCAGAGCAATCCTAGAATATTAAAAAGTAATAACTCCAGACGCCACGGTTACGAAATAAAAGACCACCACTGCCCTGGATGTAATGGACTATCATGATTCCTGCCTTCCGTAACGTGGCCTTCAACACTTCAAGCCGTCCGTATTTAGGCCGTGGATCGAACAAGCCCTCGGTCGAACGGCCACTTGTCGCAGGACGATAAATTTTGGAACAGAACTATGCTATCTGAAACCTAACCTCAGATGCAGTGAACGTAAAATTACGTAATTTAACGATGCCCGGAAGTCAGATTCGATCCGCGGCCTGGTGGTGCACGGCCTGTTGCGAGGCCGGAGGAAGACAAAGCCGAGTGGTTCACGGCTGATTGGTGGATGTCCGGAGAGATACAAGGCGTTCGATTCATTCAGGTCTTATTGGTGCACAAAATAGGTGGTGCACGGCTGCGCTCCCAAACTTGTCCATGCGACATTTATTCGCGCTTTGTGTCACCGACATGTAGAATAAACTCCTTGCTTTCAACGTTGACGATCCGAGTATGAGCGCATTGAAGAACAGACTAGAATAGATAGACATAATTTTGCTGCCGTTTTAAGTTCAGTCATGAAATGCCTTGCACCCTACGGACATGGTAAAAGCCCAGTAGCTCTTTCACGCCCGTTTTAAAGATCTGGTACCGTTCTTTACCCACCCCGTTGGTAAAGATCTGGTCAAAATGCCCGTTTTTAGGTCTCCTGTGAACAAGTCACGAGATGTAAAACAGTAAAACAATGTGCAATAGGCCAAATCAGGCCTATTCTTTAGTGCCGAACCATGTGATGTTACGACCGTGGAAACGACAGAGTCCAGGTTTTAGTATGTGTAATCTGAATTGGTGATCCAGCTGATCCAAAAAAGCTCAGCTGGGCAGTGGGCAGTGTCGAGCTAGCGCTTGTGGTGGTAGGTTTAATGTGATCTTCTCTCCACATGATGCCGATTGAACTTTGAAGCTGGTCTGGACTTTCAGGACAGAATAGTTGAGAAGATGAGTGATTTTCCATTTGTGGATTTTAAAATCACATACAGACTGTTTACATGGCCGTTAGTTTTCAAAATATGTACTACTTAGGCTGTTAGGCAAATTTTGAAAAAGTTTGACTTCTTATTTCCATTTCAGTCAATAACAGTCATGCTAGCTGACCTAGCTGAGCTCTACAGGGTACAGCCGTACGGCGTACAGGCTGTAGTCTGTAGACCGTAAGTAGAAGACTCACTAGAAGTAGTTAGACTAAGTTAGTAGTTGCTCACTTGCTGACATCTTCATGATCTTGTGGTTTGCTCTGGTTCTACAGTCTACACTACACTACACTACTCTAGACCTAGAGTGGCAGAGTCTAGTCTAGACTCCTGTTTTGAAAAAAAAAATTCCATTTGAGATGAGACAAGAACCTTTGAGGCTTTGACCTGGTTTACGATAAAAACCAAGACAATTATTTTCAGCTCTCAGTGGAATTGGGAATGCCAGTTAAAAAGTAGTTTGAAATTTCCTTGTATAGGGTAAACGCGGTATATTCCGACATCGTAGGTAATTCCGTCACTTCTCTAGTTTTTCCTTTATATTAAGCTTTGTTTTAGGGTAAACGCGGTATATTCCGACACTTTAAGGACGCATCGAGAATTGAAAAACTATAAAAAAAAACCGTATGCGTTACGTAAGTTCTGTTGCCTTCACATGACTCTCAATTTAATTACTGTTATTTTTAAGTCCTCCTTTTCCTCTAGATGATGTAGATGTAGAATAAATGTCATTTTCTGTGATTATTTTTACTTGTTTTTTCTTTATGGATATGATATTAGCATAACCATATGTGAATCATTACCATATTATTGATGTGATATTACCATATTCATGAACTGTGATGAACATGCCATTGAGCATTGACAAGGACCTTGTACACTGCAAGCTTCATATCAGCAGCCATAGCCATATAGCATTTCTTCTGTATCTGTAAGCTTACAGGATGGCTTGTAATTTCTCACCATTTAAATGGGTCAAGTGAATTCACCATAACAAAAAAATAGTAATGTAAAAAACATACCTGAAATAGAAAGGGTTATTATAGTGACAGCCACCATCATATTTTTTTGGAGAAATAAATCACAGTTTATGTTAATAACTTTTCATTCTATATTGCCAAGTGCACAATTCTATCTATGACATTCTAGGCACAATTTTGTGATGACCAATGATGCATTAATTATTTGTTAAGTGAAATTTTTTTGCTAGGTAAATGTTCTCAGGTAAATGAGAACATTTACCTCAGGAGTGAGGTAAATGTTCTCAAAATTTTTCGTTTTTAATTGATTTTTTCAACTTGAGCCTTTGCTAATCGAGATTCTACTGTACATGTGTTTTCACGGGTGTTCCTTATTTTGCCGGGGGGTGTCCCTTATGACCCTGTTTTGCGGAAATGGCAGCATTTTTAGCGCATTTTCTCATTTATAGAAAAAATGCACTATTGTGCTCACCATGTCCATCTGTCTGTCTGCCTGTCCGTCTGTCTGTCCATCCGTGATTTCACATTTTCATCAACAAGAAAATGCACTCTCTGTCACTCACTGCAATGAGTACTGAGTTATATTTTTTGTTTGAATGAGGTGCACCAATTCTGTCAATCATGTTTTTAAGCCAACACCTGTGTGCAACTTTTATGCAAGCAAAATTTTTTAATATGTCAAATGTTTTTTTTTTTTTTGCTACAGACCTTAGTAGAGATTCTTTTCCAAAATCTCATTTTTCACATTTTTTTTTATTATTTAGAGGTACGGTTTGGTAGTAAATCTATGATTTCTTATTTTGCTTTATGCTACATAGATAGTAAAAATGTTGAACTTTACGCCACTATTTTTAATTTTGCATTATTTTAATTAGTGTAGCTGCTACAACATTTCTACAAAATGTGGGATGCCGGACACCCCTAAAAACGCATTTACAGTTGACCTTGGTTAGCAAAGGCTCTGGTTAACAAAAAAATTGTTAATGACAAAGAATTTTGATTAAATTTACATCTCTAAGCAAGAGAAATTTCACTTAACGAGAAATTAATGCATCAGCGATCATCACAAAATTGTGCTTAGAATGTCATGGATAGAATTGTGCTCTGGGCAACATAGAATGACAAGTAATTAACCTAAACTATGATTTATTTCTGCAGAAAATATGATGGTTGTCACAAAAATATTCCCTTCTGTTTCTTGTACCGTACCTATGTTTTATGATCTTTTTTTATTATAGTGAATCAATTCATTTAACCCAATTAAAATGGTGCAAAATTACAAGCCCAGTCCCATAAGCTTACAGAGGAAATGCTATATGGCTGCTGATATGAAGCTTGCACTGGTCAAGGTCATTGTTAGGGGCATGGAAGTTTTTTTTTAAGTGTTGGTTTTTTTGTTGTTGTTGAAGTTTGTTTTTGTTGATGAAAAATGGATATGGTAATATCATCAATAAAGGAAAGACGAGTACAAATCTCAGAAAATTCATTTATTCCACATTTACATCATTTACAAATGAAGAAAAGGACCTTGGAGCAATGTTAGTACTAATAAATGAGTACACTCTGCATGCTTGAAACATTTTAAAATTAAGTTTCATTTCAAATGTCTCAAATTCCCCATTGCCAAGGGTAGTAATTCAGGACGTTTTTCTTGCTTCTGACACCTTACAAATAGCATTTGGAATCTTTTTGGAGATGTCATGTGATAACTCTTGTAAAGACCTTTAAAATGAGCCAAAACTTGTTCATGAAATGTATCATGGTAAAAAGTTATCAACAAAAAAAATTAGAGAAAATGGCCATTATTTCCCTGTTTGATGTACTATGCCATTGCATAGTACATCAAACAGGGAAATATGCATCAAGTTATGCCATTGAATTATTTTCTTACTGTTTGTAATTAAATTTTTACCAGAATTCTAAAAATGTTTGACAAGCAATAATCTGGTTTTCTCTTCTATCAATATACTGTTTGAATCTCAGCATTTTTTTTTATATAATAAATTTGCCTCTGTTCTCTTCTTGCAGTTTTACAGTGAGCAGTTTGACCACACGCCTTTGGCCATCTTTGTCTCTTCTTATTTCAAGCACTATTAAGTTACATTTCAAATTTGTTCCCAATGTGGCTGTACATATATGGGTTTGTAATCCATATAATATTTTTTATATCAGTTTTTGACATATATTTCCGCACCCCAATTGTCCATGGCATGGAGCCACAGTCATCTCCGCTGGAGCCAGCAGCCAAGCGGCTTGTTCTCTTTGTTGCTGATGGGTTGAGGGCGGATAGCTTCTTTAACTACAGCAATAGCATCTCTAGAGCTCCCTACCTTAGGTGAGACAAAAATTTTTGTTACTCTTTGAATTATTATAATAAAATTTATCAACCATTGTATATATGAACATTTTAATTTGTGTGCTGCTTCAGTTGCAAATATGTTGCATTATTTAATTAGCCAGTTTATCTTTTTACCTATGCTGGAGAATAATGGATTGCCTTCATAAAAAATTATGGTGACAAGTTTTTGGCCAGGTTTTTTTCCTTGCATATAATGTGGAAGAAACTATTTCATATTAGTTGCAAACTTCCAGTTGAATTTTTGTAATTTATGGATATTATCATGATCTGATGGTTATATTCATGGCAAATAATGAATAGAAGGACTTGGTAGAAATCAATTATTGAGTGACTCACTTCCTGCCACTGAGTTTGGTTTGGCAAAGCATTAAAAAAACAGAAGATGATGCCAGTGTAGAGAAATTTAGTACAAGAAATGATACCCATGTTATACTCTAATAAAAATAAGAAAATGATGCCTGTTTAGAGAGAGCTCCAGTCTATGTTTTCTGCATACTTCCATAATTGCTGTGAGAATGTTTATTATTTTGTCAATTTACAATAAATTCCTTACTAAATTAAAGATGTTTTGTGATGCTGTGTTCAGATCTGTGATAGAGAAAGAGGGCACATGGGGCATCTTACACACCCGCGTACCCACGGAGTCCCGCCCTGGGCACGTCGCCATCCTGGCCGGTCTGTATGAGGATCCGAGTGCCATAGCCCGGGGATGGCGGGAGAATCCAGTTCACTTTGACCACATCCTGAACCAATCCCGCCGGGCCTGGGCTTGGGGAAGCCCGGACATTGTCCCAATGTTTGCCTCAGGTGAGCTGCCCTTAACTATCATGTTTTTCCTTGTACACAAGGACAACATTCCCATAACATTTTTTTATTTATACTGCATTTTAATCCATTATATTTAGTTTAACTATAAATCAAGATGTGTATGTATTGGAAATAAATTGTAAACATTTGTAATATGGAGTTGTCTTTTAATAATGAATGGTAGCATGGAAAATCTTCAATTACGTATGCATGAAAATTCATTGTCAACACAGATGCTTAGTTATGAACTTTCTGTTACAATTGCAATACAACCATGGTATATTTCTCTTGTTTAACAAGGTAAAATTTATGAATAGAGTTGTATGTATGAATAAACTTCCTGCTGGTATGTATGAATAAAGTTCCTACTTCTGTGAAATTCATAACTACCAAGACTTTCACTTTAGGGGATGTGCATATATATGAATCAATTATTAATTTTATTGTCTTGCATTCTGTTACAGCATTACATTTAGTTTATATTATCAATTAGCCATGAGACATGTTAACAGATGATATGCTTATGCATTCATATGTTCAAACATCACCTAAGTACCTAGTCCTGATTGTTGACATTTGGCCTGTACCATCAAAAATGTTCCATGTATCATAACTCCATCAGCCAATCAATGATAGATTTTTAGTTAACACAACAATCACAGACAAGAAATCAGCTGCAATGTGTACTTAAGCCACGATGCTTGTTTTCTTTAGTAAGGTTTGATAGAATATACCCCATCAAGTTTTGACTTTTTTTGATCATTGCAACATCTAAAATTACAAACTCCATTCAGGTGCTCATAGTGCACACATCAGCACTGAGTGCTACACAGCAGAGCAGGAGGACTTTGCTAGTGCTGACGCATCACAGCTTGACTCGTGGGTCTTCCAGAGACTGGAGAATCTGGTGCAGCAAGCGAGAAGCAACATCACGTGCGTGATCTGTTTTATTAACTTGTTTTGTTATATGTACGGTACCATCATGATGGCTTCTTTGTTACTATCTGTTGTGAATTATCAATGAGATTTATTACTGTAAGGAGAAAAGAGTTACTGTACACAAATGCTATAATTGTGCTAAACATGTGATACACCACAACTGTAACTGTAGTACTGTACATATTGTGTGGCATAAGTCTACTCTTTATACATTGTTACCAGTCACTAATTACAATGTGTTACATCTGTTGTGGATTGGGCCTAAGGGTGTTTGTTGCAGAGAGTTCAGGTCAGGAAAACAAGGATTTAGTGATGGTCTCTGCCTCCCCTACAACCATCTATTTTACCTTTTTTACATAACCATTTATTTGCATTTTTAAAATAGTTTAGTAAAAAGCAAGGAAGCAACACAGCAAGAAAGAACCAAATTGGTTCAAGTAACCCACCTTTATTAAGGTGGGTTATTTAAACATCCACCTTGTGCTTTCATCTAACCCACCTTGATTAAGTATGAATTTAGTATGTACAATGGGAAAAACAGAAAAAAGACATGTGAAACCAAGGAACGTGAATAGACTATTACCAGATTTGAGTAATTCATTTAATAATTTGCCTGCTTCATCTCAGTTTGGAAAAGTCAAACATTGATTAGGAATGTGATTATCCCATGGAGTGTGCTTCATCAATATTTAGATAATCTTGCCATACTTGACATAGGTTAGGCAGCAATGCTGCAATAAACAACTGATATCAAGTCAAATAGTTCATGTCTACTGAATCAAATTGCACTTCAGGAATTGAAGGTTTGCAAATACCCCTTAGCTGGAAACAATGTCTCCCTTGCCGAGTTAATGCCCCCACACAACTAAGTATGTTAGTATGTACAAATCATAAGCCATAAATGAAGGGGTATAAAAATTATATACAAAGCACACAGCAGATACTTATGTATGCACAATTGCATTGTTGAACTATGCGTACATTATTGTAAGTAAGCTATTGTCCCCACCATGACCCCTGATGCCTGCTGCAGGTTGTCGGAGGACCTCCGTGCAGGAGGCGTTGTGCTCTTCCTGCACCTGCTCGGCCTGGACACCAACGGCCACTCACACAAGCCCCACTCCCTGTGAGTGGTCAATAGAGTGGGGGACATTTTAACCCCACCCAAGATATATAAAGCTAACAGACAACAGACATTGGAGTTATTTGATACATGCAAAGAACTGTGTAAATTTTCATACTAGGTATAATTGGATTCAAACTAACTGCAATATATTCTGATATAATAAAATGAACGGTATTAGTTTTGGAGACCTTTGTTTGTAATAAATAGGGATAGCAGGACTTTCTGTGAGCCTTTCTTTCGTGAGCTTTGAACAAAAATTCAAAGCTTCTATTTATAGTATATTTGTTATCCTATTAAATATATATATTATGTTCTATTTAATATATTTTTTATGGAGTGATACCAGCGCAACATTAAGCCATAACTTTTTGTTCAATGTTTCTGTTTACAGTTTATATGTTATCCTATTAAATAGATATATTTTATTTAATAAAGTTTTTATGGAGTGATCCCAGCACAACATTGAGCCACAACTTGAGTTGAATCATTCTATATAATTTGTATTATGCATTTTATTTAATATACATTTGACAAGGGAGTATAAGTGCAACATTCAGCCGCAAATTTATGTTAAATCTTTACACTTAATTTATATATAGCATTCTATTTAATATACATTTGTCAAGGGAGTACCAGTGCAACATTCAGCCACAAATTTATGTTAAATCTTTATACATAATTTATATTTTGCATTATATTAATATACATCTGACAAGGGAGTATAAGTGCGACATTTGGCCACAAATTTATGTTAGATCTTTATGCATAATTTATATTTTGCATTCTTTTTAATATACATTTGACAAGGGAGTACCAGCGCAACATTGAGTTGGTGGACGCAGGTGTGCAGCGCAGCGTGCGGCTCCTCAACGACTTCTTCGGTGACAACAAAACTGCCTTCATCTTCACCTCGGACCACGGCATGACCAACTGGGGTGAGTAAAGTGGGTCAACCCGGCTTGCTGGGGTGAGTGAAGTGGGTCAACCCGGCATGCTGGGGTGAGTAAAGTGAGTCAACCCGGCATGCTGGGGTGAGTAAAGTGAGTCAACCCGGCATGCTGGGGTGAGTAAAGTGGAGGGAGCATTTAGCCTCCCCATAGGCACCATCGGGCATGATGTGGTCTGCCAGGAAAGGCGCTACAAGGTGTTCGAATCTCAACTTGATGAAAGCTTTCATGGGGCGGTCTCTGAGGGGAGCAGAGGCCATGTGAAAAGAAGTATGGGTAGGCTGGAGGGCGCTGGCGAAAAATTGAGCACAGGCCAGGTCCAGATGAGCGGGCAGAGGAAGGACGCCGGTCTCATTGTGACGATGGGCGATTGGGGCCATCTTGAGGCAGCCTGTGGCTAGTCTTAGGGCTGAGTTTTTGATGGTTTGAAGGCTAGCTATTGCTGTGCGTGAGGCGACAGGGCACCAGAAGAGGGTCGCGTAGTTGAGGATTGGGCGCGTGATGGATCGGTGAGTGGCAACATTGTCCTCCTTGGAGAAGCCCCAGTTTGTGCCGGCCAGGGCTTTTAGGATACGTAAGGAACCTGTTGCTTTGGTGGCTATGGCTCTGACATGAGGAGAAAACGTATAGTGAGTATCCCAGGTGATTTTGGGTTTTTTCTTAGGGGATGATGCCATTGCAGATTGTTGCAGAAAGGTGTAGGCGGGATTGGTGAGTGTATGGGGTGAAGAGAGTGACGGAAGATTTACCTGAGGCCACGGTCAGTTTTTTGGCAGCCGACTAGTCTGAGACGCCCCGGAGAAGCCCAGCGAGGTCAGCCTCCGCAGCGTCGAGCCTCGGGGACGATACCAAGATGGTAAGGTCGTCCGCATATGAGGCGATATTGGGGGGGCCGGTATAGGTATATCCCAGATGAAGTGCCGGCGAGAGGACCGAGCCTTGGGGGACTCCTGAGTGTATTGTTCTGAAGGGGGATGGCGTTCCAAGATAGAGGCAGGATGCCATCCTGCCTTTGAGATAGCCGCACATGTACTAAGTGGGTCAACATACGTAACCCACCTGCTGGGGATGTTGCAGGTTCCCACGGGGCTGGGGAGGCCAGCGAGACGGAGACGCCGCTGGTGGCGTGGGGCAGCGGCGTGGCTTCGCCCCAGCCCGCCGCCTCCTTCACCGTCAGCTTCTCTATTTTTATTATTTATTTTTCTCTTATTTTATATATTTTACCTGTGTTATATATCTTAGAAGCCTTTATATTATTTATATGTATCTATGTGATATATTTTATGCGTTTCTATTATTATATATGTACATACACTATTCGTCTTGTATGTATATGCCTCTATCACACACAAACAATCATACAGCAATCATTTAAACACACCTACAAGCCATCGGATTGCCGAGCAATCATCATTATTTAATCACTGCTTAATCATAATTCAATCACCACTCAATCACGGCTTAATCACCACTCAATCATCACTCAATCATCACTCAACCATCACTCAATCATCACTCAATCATCACTCAATCATCACTCTGTCACCACTATATCACCACTCAATCACAACTCAATCACCACTCAATCACCACCCAACCACCACTCAATCAGCACCCAATCAACACTCAATCACAACTTAATCGCCACTCAATCACCACTCAATCACCACTCAGTCACCATTTAACCACCACTTAACCACTGCTCAATTACCACTCAATCATCGCTCAATCACCACTTAATCACAATTTAATCACCATTCAATCACCACTCAATCACCACTCAATCACCACTCAATCACCACTCAATCACCATTCAACCACCACTCAATCACCACTCAATCACCACTCAGTCACCACTCGATCACCACTCGATCACCACTCTACCACCACTCAATCACCACTCAATCACCACTCAATCACCATTCAATCACCATTCAATCACCACTCAGTCACCACTCAATTACCACTCAATCACCACTCAATCACCATTCAATCACCACTCAATCACCACTCAATCACCACTCAGTCACCACTCAATCACCACTCAATCACCACTCAATCACCACTCAA